ATAACAGAATGCTTCTAACCTTCTCTAGAATGGTTTTGTTCATTCTTTCACAAAGACCATTTTGTTGTGGGATATGTCTAACTATTTTATGTCTAACAATCCCATGAGTTCTACAGTAATTGTTAAACTCCTCAATAACAAACTTTAGACCATTATCAGTCCTCAGTTTCTTCATTTTCTTTCTAGTTTGAGTTTCAACCATGACTTTCCATTCCTTAAACCTAGAAAATGCTTCATCTTTGGTTTTAAGGAAATAGGTCCAGACATGCCTAGAGAAATCATCTACAAAACTGATAAAATATCTACATTCCCCAAGAGAATAATGCCTAGATGGTCCCCAAACATCCGAATGAACAAACTCAATTGATGAGCTTGAGTAATGTTGACCAACCCCAAACTTCACTCTACTCATTTTCCCAAAAACACAGTGCTCACAGAATGTCAAAATCCCAGTTTTATCCCCACATAATAAATCTTGTTTACTAAGCTCTCCAAGGCTTTTCTCAGTAACATGATCAAGTATTTGATGCCATAAAGTGGTTTCATCCTGCCCCATAGTTGAACCTATAATAGTTACTCAAATATCAATTCTACCCTTCAACACATACAACCCATTTTTCTTTTCAGCCTTCATGACTACCAAAGACCCTTTCAACACACTAAGAGTCCTATTTGCAGCCTTATAACTTAGACTTATTGAGTCTAATATACCAAGAGAAATGAGGTTTCTTTTGAGATTAGGAATGTGTCTAACATCAGTGAGGGTTTTGGTTAATCCATTATGAAGATTCAGCCTAACCAAGCCTATTCCCTTAATGTGACAAACTGCATTGTTCCCCATCATCACTTTCCCACCATCTAACGATTGAAAGGGACTAAACCACTCCTTGTTTGGTATCATATGATATGTGCAACCACCATCTAGTATCCACTCATCACTAACTCTAACTTCAGAGATAAATAGGACCTCTGAACTTTCATAACCCTTTGATACTACCCCTGCACTATCACTATCACCTTTTTTTTCATATTTTTTCCTATTCTTTCTCTTGAGACAGTCTCTCCTAAGGTGACCCTCCTTATGATAGAAGAAACACTTCCATTTTCATGATTTAGATTTCGACCTATGTCTATTCTGCCCTCCTTTTTTCCGGTTTTTCTTCTCAGACCTTCCTCTAACAACAAAACCCTCACCATCACTCACATGTTTTTCCCTTACCCTATTTTCACTATCCTTAGCATTGATAGCCTCTACAACCTCTCCTAACTTCACTGTCTCTCTACCATATTTTAGTGTTTCCACAAAGTTTGAGTAGGTTTTAGGTAAGGAGTTTAATAGGATCACAACCTGATCCTCATCAGCAATCACTACATAGATGTTTTCTAGGTCTTGTATAATCTTTAGAAAGTCATCTTTATTATCCTTTAATGTTTTTTGCTCATCCATTTTAAACCCAAACATACTATGTTTTAAAAACAATCTATTAGGAACAATTTTCGATTGGTAAAGAGAATCTAACCTGCTCCATATCTCAATAGCAGTTTTTTCTTTCTTCACCTCTCGAAGAACTTTATCACCTAAGTCGAGGATCAGTGAGCTCTTGGCTTTGTTCAACATGTCCTGTTTCGATAACAGTCAATGTTTCAGGTAACGCTTCTTTTCCTTTTAGAGCTAAGGCCAAGACTTCTTTGATTAGCACTGCTTCCATTTTCATTTTCCACAAGCCAAAATCATTTTCACCTGTAAACTTTTCAAGCTCAAATTTAGTTGACATATTTTTTCTCACAGAGTTGACAAACAGAAATGTATACAGACGCAATGAAAAAGAGAACTAAACAATAGACTTCTAAGCTACACTGAAATAAGAGTAAATCAGTAAAACCCTAACAAAGCCCTGAACCGAACTCTAATACCAATTTGTTAGGATCCTAAGGGTTTACTAATTAACACTTTCAGCCCAAATGACACAATCAATAAACTAATTGATTAATCAAAAGGAAAGAAATAAGCAGGCAAAGAAGAACATAGAACATGGTAAATTATAGTGGTTTGGCTTTGCAGCTTACATCCACTCTCTAAGGCTCACAATAGGTATTTTCATTACTCAATCACCAAGAATGTATAATGGATGAATAAAGAACAAAGAAGAATACAAAGGAAGGAACACACCTAAGTTGAAAACCCTAAGTTTTGCACTTAAGAAAACTCTAATTCACCAACAGTGTATAAGTAATTAATTATTGCATAATACTACACATACAACATTTCTCATACAACATTATGTAGTAAAAGACGATTGACTGATTTTAAATAAAAAATTAAATTTCACCGAATTATCTTTTGCCACATCATATTATATGAAAAATATTGTATGTATAATATTAATCTTAATTATTCCCTTTGTTCCTCATCCTGTAAACTTGTGTGATGGGTCTGGGTGATCTGTCAATAAAGTAATTTACTCTTAATTAACCCTATGCTCACCAACATTTCAGTCTCTAATAAGATTTATAGTTTTAACTAAAATATAAATATATATGAATTTTTAAATTTCAACTCTTTATGCGAGATTATACAGATTCAACTGAGGTAAAATCATGTAATTTGAGCAATAAAAATAAAAATAAAATTAATGTAAGAAATTAAAATGGGTGATCTAACATCGACAATATTCAAGCATTACTCAATATGAATTACTCTATATATGAATAGTTTGCATGCATGTATAACATTTTTTAAGTTTAAATTGGAATATGATTATTAAGTAATTACAGCCAGGCCTCATAAAGACATGTTAATTTTCTTTTTCCTTTTTTAAGAAATACAACAAATATAAGTATAACTATAAACTTGGATTGACATTTATAGATTCATATTTTTATGGATGAAACCAAGATTTTAGTTTTACCTTTAAATGAAGTAATTAAGTCAATTAATTGTGATATCTGGCAAAGGAATATGAATATAATTAAAGGAATATATAATAATTAAGCTTGCAGGGTCCTTAAACTGAGATCTTATGGGCGAAAATAGAGTTTACTAATGTCTTTAATAATTTATTTTACATTATTTCTTATTGTTAGTCAAGGAAAAATCAGAGCTCTATCAATTGAAGAAAATTTGGAGTTGGAGAGGGAGCTTGCCTTCTTGAAAAAGCCTGCTGTGAACCATCAGGGTACTCATTATACTTTATATTACTCCTTTTTTTTAATAGACTTACAAAGATATCGACAATCAATAGTTGTTGTTTGAGGCGAGATTCGATTTCAAGACCTCTTAATATTTACAAGAAATTTCATCTATCGAGCTAACCGATAATACTATTTTATTAGATAATTGAATTTTCTTGCAGACTATCTATGGAGACATTTATGATTGTGTGGATCAATATAAACAACCAGCTCTTGACCATCCTTTGCTTAAAGATCACAAAATCCGAGTCCATTTCTTTCTTTAACTTAATCTTTGTACACAGTGTAAGCATGAAATTTCTATAGCTGCATTTCTCTATTGGATTCTTCTATAAGTTCAAATTTTGGGATTAAGTGTTTTAAAAGTGGTGCATTTGTCAAATCCAGGTCCAATTAAGTATAAATTGTCTGTATGGGTAGGTTTCACCTAAGTGTATGTCACCCAAAATGCATTTACTTGGTTACGATGAATAAAACTTTATAAAGTAAATCTCAATCTCATTCACTAACTATGTGAGATGTAACAAACTCTTCAGATCTTGTGCCCTGATGAGGTTGTCATATCAGTCCATTGGGTAGTTAACCCGTTTTGAAGCCCAAATACAAATCCCTCCAAATGGACAATTTCTTTTTGATTGGACTGATATTTAATAATCTAATTTTGAACCTTCCATAGTACAGACTGATCATCTAATGTGATTGCCTCGCAGACTAGGCTGAGCTTCGCACAAAAAACATATTCATCAAATGCTAGGGCTACTATACATTTTAATTTAATAGTTTGTAAATTAAATATAAAGTATTAACATATTAATATAGTCTAATAGAAATTGGAACTCTTAATCTTAAATGTAAGACCAAATTTGGTGTTACATAGAAATTAGAACTCTTAATCTTAGATGTATGAAGTCACAAGTCCAAAACTCCAAATTATATCCAATGTCAAAATTTATTAAATTATTTATTTATTTGTTTTTTTGGAAGAGATTGATTAATATTAAATACATTTATAATTAATTGAAAATATTATATAACCAGTAACCCTCTAAATTGATTAAAAGAAAATATTAAAAAAAACCAAGTTAAAGAAAACAATTAAAAAATCTAATATATATATATAATTTGTTTGTTACAATTAAATAATTAATCTCTCAAATTGACATATTTTTTATACATAATTAGCTTCTAATGATTTTTTGGGATTTTCAGAACAAAAGGTTCTGAATGTAGGTTATGTCCTATGCAAGATTAAGTTTAACTTAACATATAAACTAATTAGCCATTTCCTCGTTTTTATTTTATTTATTTTGAGTATTTGGATAATTGTTGGACTCATGGCAATTGCAAGTTCCCCACTCTTTAAGATATTTAAGGCATTAAGTTGATGAAATTTATATAGAAATTAGAAAATGATCCAACGGGGACTATTCCCCATTTGCGGGGAAATTCCCCAAGGGGACTACTTCCCATTCGGGTGGAAATTACCCGTGGGGCTTACTCACCAAAGGGAGGGGGAGGGGGGAATTCCCCGTGGGTCTGTGATGGGGATTCCTTGACAACTCGAGGGGTATTTCCCCAAGAGTCGATTACGGGGATGGGGACCCCATTCCCTGACCCGACTGACCTGTGTCCATTTTTATTAATACTACATATACAACATTTCTCATATAACATGAAGTTAACAAAAGTGATTGGCTGATTTTAAATAAAAAATAAACTTTTACCCAATCATCTTTTTTCACGTCATGTTGTATGTATAGTATTACTCTTAATTATTCCCTTTCTTTCTCATCCTATAAACTTGCGTGATGGGTCTTGGTGATCTATCAATAAAGTAATTTACTTTTAATTAACCCAGTGTTCACCAACATTTCAGTCCCTAATAACATTTATAGTTTTAACTAAAATATAAATATATATGAATTTTTAAATTTCAACTCTTTATACGAAATTATACAAATTAAAGGTAAAATCATGTAATTTGAGCAACAAAAATAAAAAATTAATGTACAGAAATTAAAATGGGTGATCTGACACTGACAGTATTCATGCATTACTCAATATAAATAGTTTGCATGCATGTATAACATTTTTTAAGTTTAAATTAGATTATCATTATTAAGTAATTACGGCTAGGCCTCATAAAGACATGTTAATTTTATTCTTCCTTTTTAAGAAATATAACGAATCTGAGTGTAATTATAAACTTGGATTGACATTTATAGATTCTTATTTTCATGAATGAAACCCGGATTTTAGTTTTACCTTTAAATGAAATAATTAAGTCAATTAAATGTGACAATCTGGCAAAGGAATATGAATATAATTAGAGGAATATTATAATAATTAAGCTTGCAGGGTCCTTAAAGTGAGATCTCATGGGCGAAATTAGAGTTTTACTAATGTCTTTAATAATTTATTTTACATTATTTCTTATTGTTAGTCAAGGAAAAATCAGAGCCCTATCAATTGAAGAAAATTTGGAGTTGGAGAGGGAGCTTGCCTCCTTGAATAAGCCTGCTGTGAAGACCATCAGGGTACTCAGATTATACTTATATATTACTCTGTTTTTTTTAATGGACTTGCAAAGATATCGACAATTAATAGTTGTTGTTTGAGGCGAGATTCGATTTCAAGACCTCTTAATGTTTACAAGAAATTTCATCTATCGAGCTAACCGGTAATACTATTTTATTATATAATTGAATTTTGTTGCAGACTATCTATGGAGACATTTACGATTGTGTGGATCAATATAAACAACCAACTCTTGACCATCCCTTGCTTAAAGATCACAAAATCCAGGTCTGTTTCTTTCTTTAACTTAATCTTTGTACATAGTGTAAACATGAAATTTTTATGAGTAATACTAACCTTACAAAGAGGCATACAAAGAGACAAATCCAACCATTCTTTGTATACCTCTTTGTAATGCTAATATTATTCAATTTTTATAGCTACATTTGTCTTTTGGGTACTATAAGTTCAAGTTTTGGGATTAAGTGTTTTACAAGTGGTGCATCTTTGAGATCCAGGTCCAACCAAGTAGAAATTGTAGATATACTTAAGTGTATGTCTCCTAAAATGCATTTACTTAGTTACGATGAATAAAACTTTATAAAGTAAATCTCAAACTCATTCGCTAACGATGTGAGATGTAACAAACTCTTCACCATACGGATCTTGTGTCCTAATAAGGTTGTCATATCACTCCATTGGATAGTTAGCCCGTTTTGAAGCCTAAATACAAATCCCTCCAAACGGACAATTTCTTCTTGATTGAACCGATATTTAATAATCTAATTTTGAACCTTCCATACTGATCATCTAATGTGATTGCCTCACAGACTAGGCCGAGCTTTGCTCAGAATTCATCAAATGCTAGGGCCAGCAGGCCATCAGGAATTTCATCAGTACATATCGGCTTGGATGATGAATGTCCATCAGGAACAGTCCCCATTCGGAGGACAACAAAGGAAGAACTGTTAAGAGCAAAAACCAGTTTCAGAAAACTTTTTCCAAGTTTTTATCAGGCAAATGCAGATAATATAATCAAGCCCAAAGTAAGTTACAAGTATTTGCAAATGTTAACACACTACATTTCTGAGCAGTAATCCTTCTCCATGTTTTAGTTTGCAGGAATTTTTGCAGGACGGAAACAAAGTACAGTGTACCATGGAGGTGCTGGATACATTAGTATCTGCAATCCTGCAGTCGAACCTGGACAATTTAGCTCATCCGTAATTGCAATTGAAGGTGGTCCTGCTGATTCATTCAGCACAATCAGGGTTGGATGGATGGTATATATATTCTCCAGAACTTAGTTTTATGAAATTTCTGAAGAGCTCCTTGAGTTAATTTTCTGCAAATTATTCCAGGTCAATATAGATCTCTTCAAGGACAGTTTCACTCGCCTATATACTGTTTGGGGGGTAAGTGTTTCTTCTTTATCTTGGTCTCGGTATTGTAATAATCAAAACTGCTCACATGTTTTCTTCATCAGCAAGCCGCCGGTGGAATTTCTCATGGTTGCTACAACACATATTGTTCAGGTTTCGTCCAAACAGATACCACAATAGCACTGGGGATGGTCCTTGAACCAATTTCAGTTGTTGGTGGAACTCAATATTACATCTCACTGGAAATCAATCAGGTAAATCCCTGGTACAAACATTCCCATCTTTACTAAGCTCATATCTCTCTGTCATAGAAAACTGCATTTTCTTGATTGGGTAATTTGATTATTACAGGATAAGGAAACAGGGAACTGGTGGCTCGTGTATGGCGAAAATGGGAAAACAATTGGGTACTGGCCAAACAGTCTGTTCACATATCTGAAGAATGGAGGTGAAATTATTGGTTGGGGAGGAATTGTATACACCACAACACAAAATATGCCAGCTATGGGAAACGGAGACAATGGGGAGCTGTATAGTTGCCATTTTAGGCAAGTTGCAGTGAAATATGAAGCAGGGTCAGGTCTCAATGGGAGCATGGATGCGCCAATTAATGTTATAAAAAACAAATGCTACAAGGCTGGAGATAATTCCTACAAAGGATTATACTGGGGTTACAGCTTTTATTTTGGTGGGAATGGTGGGGATGTGAACGAGTGTTCTCAGAAACTCTAGAAGCAGAGTACTATCAATAAATCCATATTNAAGCCACCAAAGAGCCCATAAACAAACTTGTATTTCAGAGTTGCTTAAGAAGCAAGAGACAGAATAGCACCTGAAGAGAAGTTCTAGCTAAAACAGCACTTTGGCGTAACTGATACTGGATTAGAGCTTGAAAACCTACACACAGTTTGAAAATAGGATGAAAAGAAGGAAAAAAAAAAAAAGTCAAAACACCAGACACAAAGCTCTAATGGAGCAACCATTGCTCTTTCTTAATTACAAGACATAAGAAATGTCCACGGAAACACTCCAACTATAATAAAAAACAATAGAGTTTACAACTTCAAAGCTATTGTTAGAATACTGATCATCAAAACAGTGAAAAAGAAATATTATCCATTGAGCAAATGCTCATGAGTTGAAGTGGGATCTAACTTTCGAAAAAATACAGAAAGAGAGAAAGAAAACTTGAAGAAGCTGACCAGCTGACTTCTGGAACGTGACGATCTTCTCCACAAATCCATGAGGAGAAAAAACTTGATGCAGCACTTCCACAGTAATAGGATAAAGCATGTGATGAATTGTAACTAAGAGAATTCGGTTCGGCTATGCATCCAGAGAGTGCCCAACAGCAAACCAGCAAAGAGACAGAAGAGAGAGAAGAGAATAAATAGAGAAATATAGACAGAGAGAAGGGAATATATAGAGAAGTAAAGGTAAAGAAAAGAACCAAAAGAAACAATCATCAACAATGCAACATTCAGATAATGCTTAAAACAAAGAAATCTGAAATCATGACAAGAGAAAATTAATGGTGAAAGAGCAAGAATGTATATAAAGATATTGATTTCGTTGGTTATTTGCATTCAGTGATCTAAAGTAACTTCTCTACCACACTTCTACTTTGCACATTGGAATACATACACCTCTATGGTTTAATATACAAATATGCAATGCATCAAACTCTGCATTAGAAAACATAAGAATGCAAATTGGCTCTCTGACATGACACTAAAAATGGTGGACCAGCATGGCTTTACAGCACGTTGTAATACATAAGAACAGTTTTCTCTGTGATGTGGGTTATACAAAAATACAGTTCCTCTGTATCTCACAATTGAAGTGATATTTTTAGTAACAAGAACTTAATACTGGTCCCCAGCAGAAAAGACAATATCGGTATTTTTTATATGGATTGCCATGACTCATACCCTCTAGGCCTTACACTAACTCTCAAACCAAAATATTGAACTAATATTATCTTGCCATCAATATGCACAATTATCTCGTTATTTTTCTATGGATTGCCATGACTCAGTCCCCTCAAGGGCCTTACACTAACCATCTCTGAAACCAAGATATTGAACTTATATTATCTTGGCCATCAATATGCACAAATATCTCGTTACTGTCCATAGTATTATCATTGTAAACATTCCATTTAATGTACTAATTTAGATTAGTTCCTGCTCCAGGTTATGTCAACATCTAAGGTGATATCAACAGTAGACTGATTACAACCAAATCAAAACATTATGTAGATAAGAAAAATTAAATAAAGACATGATAAGAACATCAACCCTAGTTCTCTAGTGCCCTGAATGATAAAATGATCATTGTCACAAAAACAAGACACCAACTGTTCCATTCAAGCTCATTTTTCTTTTCCCTTGAACATAACCATATGCATGTAATTTGATTTCAACATATCAGGCTCAGGTACAAACCTCATCCCCTCGTCCTTGAGTATTTTGATCCATCGTCGTTAACTCCTGATGTGACGAGAACTGAACATAAACATTCCTTCCCCTGGGATGACACAATTCAACTTTTAAACAAAGAGGGGCAAAAATTGTATTTTTAATAGCTTCAAAACACCCAGGTAATATTTACAAACACAAAATAGAATATCCTCAAAGCAGGGTTTTAAAAGGAAATATTGGCAATATTTTGGTACCTTATGGATGGTTGGACGTTTGCGTAATACTGGAGAGCAGCTATGGCTGAAGGAACATCTTGCATTTGGAGGAGAGCCTAAACTCAAGGCAGACAAAGTACAAAAATCAAATCTTAAGATTTGGCTGGCTGCAGTCAGTAGTGAGCAGCTGCCTTGACCATATGTTCAAGAAATAACAAACCTGATTCTTTGCACGAAGCATCACAAGCTTAGTTATGACTCCAAATGGCTGGAACAGCTGAAGTAAATCATTCTGATAAACCCAGAGCAAGTCTATTAGATGATGTATAAGTAAAGAAGAAGAAGATGCAACCACAAGATACAAATGAAACACAAGAGAAATTTATCTCATCCCAAGTTTCATCACCCTTACATTCAATGCACTAGGCACTTAATTACAAAATAACATTTCTCTTCCCACTAAAACTAATTACTTTAACGTAAATAACAGGAAATTGAGAAAGAACATACTTCAGAAATCTCATGGCCCACATTGCGAACGTGAATAACTTTTGAAGGTTCAGCCATTGAAACTGTAAATCACCCTGTAACAAGTCCACCCACAGTAAACATTTCAGCTTCTAGCGCAGCATTGCTTTTCAACATGCAGTTATCAAATTTTAAACACTACCAATACGCATTAAGCACCTACTTAACAACCCAAACGTAGTTAAACCCACATTAAAAAGAATTAAACTTTCCACTAAACGCCTCCCGCAACCTAAATTCACATAACTCACAATCACATTAAATCAACAACACGACGTCGTTCTATCTAGTAAGTTACTTAAAAAAACGACAGTACGAGTCACAAGACCACGTAGATTGATTCAGATAACGAAACGCCCTAACCTAACACTTCGAATCTAAACAATATACCAAGTAAACAAAACGTTGTCGTAGCATCGCCCTGACTTTTATTATTGTCTTCAAACAAACAGAGAGAAAAATCATGAAATCGAAGACAGAGAAAGAGAATAAAAAGAATAAAAAGAACTTGCCTGAGAGAAAGAGACAGAGAGAGGAAAGAGAGAGAGAGAGAGAGAGAGAGAAGGTGACTCAGCAGTTAAAGTGTAGATCAATTGCTTCGCATGTTATGTGAGTTGTGATGTGTCGAGAAGAAGAAGGAGAAGAAGAGAGAGCCTGAAATAGTTGGGAGTGATTGCGTTGCCCTATCTGTTTCTGTCTCTCGCCCTAAAAGGACCGACTTTTTTACGAGTTATGTCATGTGGCGGGGCCCGTCTCGGCGGACCCATTTTATCAACATTTTTTTTTTTTTGTTTTTTCTTTTTGGGTGTCACGTACTGACACTGTAACGTTGCTGTGTTAGTTTAAAGCTGTGGATTGGTACCGTTTTAATTTGCAGTTGCTGATCCAATGGCTTTTAAAGGTCTGGTAATTGCCGGATCGCTTAAGGAGCCTTTCCCTTTGTGATTCAAATTTTTGGTGTAATCATAGGGGAGTGGAACTCTATGATATGGAAAGAATGATATTATACACGTAATCAAATCATCTGAAACAATGACACGTCATATAAAATAAAAATATGTAAATTTTAATTTTTTTTTTCAAGTCAGTATGTATTTTTATAAGTTCTTGAAAACTGTAAGTGTATATGTATTTTCACAAAAAGCGGGAGGATATTGATTGGTGCGTTTGGTTCAATATTTTTACCTATATTCTCAATCCTATTCCCTAAATATTATTTGACATATTATTCTAGAAATATTAGTGTATTTTTTTATTACTTTTAGACTCCTTAAGTTTATTAATTTCACTAAATACCCCTAGAAAAAAGTTTAAAAATTAGCAAAAATACCCACATCCACCCATACTTGCCAGATTCCGGCTACCACTGAATCTGTCACAACGACTTACACCAAGCCCAGAACTGGCCGGTTATTCACTGATCTGGCCGTCGTTGACATATCTTTGGTCGTCGACGACCACATTTGGCCGTAGATCTGGCCTTTTCCGGCCAGATCCGACGCATTACGACACATCTCCAACCGGTTTGTGTCGTAACGTAATTTTTCGGCCAAATTCCAGTGGTGATGGCCGGAATCTGGCACTGCGGGTGGTGAGAGTGTTTTTTGTCATTTTATATATTGAGGCGTTTAATTAAATTAGCAAACTTAGGGATTTTTTTTATAAATTTTTAAATTTTACCTCGTAATACTCTCCTATTCAACTACCCAATATTATTCCCGAAATCCTATCCAAAATAATGAACCAAACGCACCCGATAATATTGAAATAAATTGGATTTTTTTTTTTTAAATTTCAGTTGGAATTACATGTGATACGAGAGATAAGTGAAACTTTTTTATAATTTAGAAAGGGGGGTTATTTCTATTTTTTATAATAAGGTGTCTATGTGTCGTGATATGATGGCTCATGAAATTGTTATAGATTATCTTATAAGGTTTGTAGTTTTATCTTCATATAGATTCAATGATAGTGTTTATGCTTTTGGAATATCTATAGTTATTGACATCGATCTTTTTATTATTTCCATCAACAGCAATTAAGTTAGAATGGAGTTACTCAAATCTTAGACTAGTAAAAAGATATATATGGGTCCAAGAATGGTAATCCAATGAGCATTAAAACATTAACAAAAGGGTCACTAAGAGTGTTTGCTAGTGTGTCCCTTCTAACACACAAAGTTAGCACAAAATCTCATTTAGCTATTTGGATTTTAGGGGATAAATGTGTTCATACTCTAAAGAATGAGAAAATGTTTATGCCTTGTGAATATTCACTTAACAAACTTATTAAAATTATAGTTATCTTTGATAACATCATATGAAAAGTATACATATTGTTATTGAGTTGTGACATTCAATATGCTCTTTTTTCCAATTATGATAGGACAACTATTTTATTATTTTCAAACTCACAAATTGTTATTTATGTTCAAACTTAAAAGTCTTTTGGAATTAGTGTAAGACTCTTGAGTGTCTATTGTAACGGTTTAGGTTGATAATCCCCATAATAATAGTAATAATTGTTTGATCTGGAATTTCATTAAATGGTGATGACTTCCTTTCTTGTTGATCTAGTAACGACGATGGCACAAATTATTCTAGAAACGCACTCACAGTTTCTTAATGATGATGATTGTGAATATGCACCTGTTATACCTACTAAATTAAAGTTACCATTGGGATATGTGCACTATTTTTATTTATATCTGCATAACGTCAAAGGAAGATACACGTATTGTTATTGAATTGTAACATTCAGCGTTTTTTTTTTTTTTTTTTTTTTTTTTTTTTTTTTTTTTTTAACTAAGGTAAGACCACTACTTTGCCCTTTTAGAGCCTACAAATTGTCATTTATATTAAAATCCTTTTGAAATTTAGTGTAAGGTTCTCCAACTAGGAACACATGTCACAAGGGTTTAGATTCGTAATCCTCATAACAATAGTAATAATTATTAGATTTAGAGATTCATTAAATGACAATGACTTCTTGTCTTGTTAATCTAGTGAAGACAGTGGCACAACTTATTCTATAAATGTACCCACAATTTCTTGATGATAATAACTTTGAATATTCATTCACTTGACAGACCTACTGAAATTAAAGCTACCTTTGGGACATGTGGATTGTTTCTATTTACTCACATAATGTCAATAAAAGATACACGTTTGGTAATCTAATGAGCATTAAAACATTAACAAAGGGCCACTAAGAGTGTTTGCTAGTGTGTCCCTTCTAACACTCAAAGTTAAAACAAAATCTCATTTTGCTATTTGGATTGTAGGGAATAAATGTGTTCATACCCTAGAGAATGAGAAAATATTCATGCCTTGTGAATATTCACTTAACAAACTTATTAAAATTAGGGTTATCTCTGATAACATTATATGAAAGGTACACGTATCGTTATTGAGTTGTGACATTTAATGCTATTTTTTCCAATTATGATAAGACCACTATTTTGTCATTTTTGAACTTACACATTGTTATTTATGTTAAAACTTAAAAGTCTTTTTGAATTTAGTGTAAGACTCTTCAGCTAAGAGTGTTTATCATAAGGGTTTAGGTTGATAATCCCCATAACAATAGTAATAACTGTATGATTTGGAATTTCATTAAATGGTGATGACTTCCTTTCTTGTTGATCTAGTAACGACGGTGGCACGAATTATTCTAGAAACGCACTCACAGTTTCTTAATGATGATGATTGTAAATATTTACTTGTCATACCTACTAAATTAAAGTTACCCTTGGGATATGTGCACTATTTCTATTTATATATGTATAACGTCAAAGGAAGATGAACGTATTATTATTGAATTGTAACATTTAGTGTTTTTTTTTTTTTTTTTTTTTTTTTAACTAAGGTATGACCACTACTTTGCCCTTTTAGAGCCCACAAATTGTCATTTATATTAAAATCCTTTTGAAATTTAGTGTAAGGTTCTCCAACTAAAAGCACCTATCACGAGGGTTTAGATTCGTAATCCTCATAACAATAGTAATAATTATTAGATTTACAGATTCATTAAATGGCAATGACATCTTGTCTTATTGATCTAGTGAAGACAGTGGCATAGCTAATTCTATATGTTACCCACAATTTCTTGACAATGACAACTTTGAATATTCATTCACTTGACAGACCTATTGAAATTAAAGCTACCTTTGGGACATGTGCATTGTTTCTATTTACTCACATAATGTCAATAAAAGTTACACGTTTGGCAATCTAATGAGCATTAAAACATTAACAAATGGTCACTAAGAGTGTTTGCTAGTGTGTCCCTTCTAACACTCAAAGTTAAAACAAAATCTCATTTTGCTATTTGGATTTTAGGGAATAAATGTGTTCATACTCTAGAGAATGAGAAAATATTCATGCCTTGTGAATATTCACTTAACAAACTTATTAAAATTAGGGTTATCTTTGATAACATCATATGAAAGGTACACGTATCATTGTTGAGTTGTGACATTTAATGTTATCTTTGTTAACAACGAGCACCTGTCATGAGGGTTTGATTGGTAATCCCCATAACAATAGTAATAATTATTAGATTTGGAGATTCATTAAATTACAATAACTTTCTGTCTTGTTGATCTAGTGAAGACGGTGGCAACGACTTAACTGAAATTAAAGCTACCTTTGGGACATGTGCATTATTTCTATTTATATCCGCATAACATCAATAAAAGATACATGTATGGTAATCTAATGAGCATTAAAACATTAACAAAGGGTCACTGAGAGTGTTTGCTAGTGTGTCCCTACTAACACTCAAAGTTAGCACAAAATCTTATTTTGCTATTTGGATTTTAAGGAATAAATGTGTTCATACTCTAGAGAATAAGAAAATGTTTATGCCTTGTGAATATTCACTTAACAAACTTATTAAAATTAGGGTTATCTTTGATAATATCATATGAAAGGTACACGTATCGTTATTTAGTTGTAACATTTAATGTTATTTTTTCCAATTATGATAGGACCACTATTTTGTCATTTTCGAACTCACAAATTGTTATTTATATTAAAACT